ATTTTAACATGTAAATAATTGTAAAGTATTTAATTTTTATTTGTTATATATGTATATGTCTTTTAAATAGCATTTGCATAAATCTTTATGTGGCAAAACTTGTGTAATTACATATTGTATTATANTTTAATTACATGTTGTTTTTGTTATAATTAAAAATGATTCTTTCAGGACTGAAAGTATAAAAGATTTGACTTGTTCCGATTTTTCAAGAGTAGTAGTCTAATAATATTGAATAATTATTCAAGATTATTTCAATATTATACAATGACTAGTGATTTTTAAAAATTGGAAAGAGAAAAATCTTTTTCTCTTCAGCCCTGAAAGAATATATAATCTTATGCAACTCACTTTTATTATATTAAGATTTTAACTTTGCTACAGTAAAAATAAGTTACATAAGATAATATAATTTTTCTGGGCTGAAAATAAAAAGATTTTGCTTCTTTCAAAATTTTAAAATCACTAGTCATTGTATAATATAGAAATAATCTTGAATAATTATTCAATATTATTAGACTACTAATCTTGAAAAATCGGAACAAGTCAAATCTTTTATACTTTCAGTCCTGAAAGAATATATAATCTTATGTAACTCATTTTTACTGTAGCAAAGTAAAAATCTTACTAAAGTCAAAATGAGTTGCATAAGATTATATGTTCTTTCAGGACTGAAAGTAAAAAAGTTTTGGCTTCTTCTCTGATTTTTCAATATCACTAGTGTAACAATATTGAAAAATTAATCAAGAATATTTCAATATTATTAAATCACTAGTGATTTTAAGAAATTGGCATAAGCCACATTTTTTTTTAATTTCAGTAAACTTTGGGCACGTATGCCACGACAGAATTCTTGATTGAATCAAGAATGGTGCGTATGCACATTACATTCGTATATCTAATAATTTCTTTATTTCGTGCGATGGGAAATTTAATACTTAGTGAAGTATAAGAAACCGAAGAAAAAAGCTATTTTATTTTATGATTATGTTATTGTAAGAGTATTATATATTAATTATATAAGAGTATATATATTTACAAATTATCTTTTTGTAAAAAGGTACTAGCTTGGAAGAAAAAAAAGTTGGCTTCTTCCAATTTTGTAAAATCACTAGTCATTTACTAATATTGAAATAATCTTGAATAATTATTGAATAATATTAGACTAGTGATGGTGAGAAATCAGAAGAAGCCAAATCGTTTTTTCTTTCAGTCCTAAAAGAACATTATATTATATGTTTTTTCAAAGTATATTATTCCGATTTCTCCTTGTAAAATTGAAACAATAAAATTTAATATGATAGATCTTATGTTGACTAAGATTATTTTAAAAATAAATTATCTCACACACTAATCTTTTCTCTGGCGTCACAATAAAGCAATAATAGAAAAGCAAAATGTGTATATTTAATTTATAAACATGTCAAACAACCTAACCTAACCTAACTTTAACCTACATAAAATATCATGTCACAATATACACCATTATACACGTACAAAACCGTCTTTGACTTTATTTCATAAGGTTTAAATAACTATATAAAAGATATCAAGAATATCACAAATTTCTTTATTCAGAGGAGGTACGATATGGGAGATACAAAGAAATCTCTTTGAGCACTACTAAGCTGCGTTCCGATAATCACTGCCAATACTAAAAATCTATATTTCACGTCACATGTGCTATAGATTTCTAATACTGACAGTGGATATCGGAACGCAGCCATAGTCACCTGAGACAGCGCTAAATATTAGCAAAAAGATATACATTGTGTATGACGGGTAATAATAGTCCGGCGTTTTTTGCTAAAAGTGCACTAATAGTTGGTTTATATTTCCTCTTTGTAGAAGCTTCAAAATCTTCTTCTAAAACACTCAAAATATTCGTTTATGTCTCTAGAATGGCTCGGACAATTTTTGTTGTGATTCATACTGCCGATTTTGTATACGAAGTGAAAATGTTGTCTACGTGATAACAGTCAACAAACTTTTTTTCGTATTTCTTGTTGATTTTTCACCGGACCATATTTTAGCATATTCTCTTTGATTCTGGAGAAGCGTTTTTTATTCCGATCAATGGTTGCAGAGTAAGTTGTGATAGCAATAGCAGTGATAAAACAGGAAGGTTCAGCATCCTCTTAAGCGCTAGGATCAATGTACAACAATCTAACTCGATACATTTTGCGTCGCAGTTGGTCAATTCCGGCAGTAACAATGTAACGTAGTGCATCGTTACAAAATAAAATAAATATACATATGTGTATATATATGTGTGTGTGTGTGTATATATATATATATATATAAATTGTCGCACCGCCGCCGCGTTTTCCGCGATCAGAAAGAAAAGACCCGCGGTACGTTTTCTTAAGAACACACTTTATTTCTCCGGTGTAAAGATTCCGGACGAAGATACAGAGAACGATCGGAGCTTCTCACGCACGACAGCTCCGCTTCGTTTCTCTTGTTATCAACACGTCTGAACTTCTTCTATAAACAAGCCGTTGCCAATCCGTTTTCTTGTCAAACAACCGCCGCGCAATCAAACGACGATTAGCGCAGCGACACATCCTCTATCGGGTGTCGGCGCAACACGCATCTTGCAACAATATATATATATATATATATAACACATCGTTCAATAAGTCCCGAGACTAAAAAAAAAAAAAGAGATTATATTGATGATTAAAAATAATTTTTGAAAAAAAATGTTGTTTTCGTTGTTAGTCTCGGGACTTATTGAACGATGTGTTATGTATGTATATACAAGATAATTGTTTTAAAAATTTCCAGCTGATTATCTCAAAAAGTGCAAAAGATACAAAAAAAGTAAAAACATTTGTTTCATGATTTCGAGAAAAAAAGAGAACGATATTACTAGTTTTTTTTATTTTGAGAGCGTTTTTCAAAGTCATTTTGAAGTCAACTTTGGTTTTAAATGGAAACTTGTATTTTTTATTACAGAAGTTTATTCTACGCAACAAAACAAACGACTTTTGTAGGAAACAGGTTTGTTATCTAGCATTATTTTCACAGATATTTAAGAAAATAACGCATTGATCATTGTTGCGTTTTTAAATTATATACTTTTGATATTAGAAAAACTGTTTTGTACATATATATATATATATAAACTTAAACTCTAGTATAATAGTATATTGTGACTAAAGTAAAAACAGTAAAGCTATTATTATTTCCAAGAATGTTAGAGAAAAACACACATAAAAATTTGTCTATTCATCATCTTCATTTTCATAAAAAAGAATGTATAATCAGTATATTGACGTCTTCCTGTTGATTTGACTTTATTATTGTTGTAGATTTTCCGAGAGTCCATGCGGATTTGCAAATGCAAATTTTACAAGGTTAGTTTAAAGTCAAATGCGTGTTTGGAAAACAACGGTTTGCTGTGTACGGCCAGCAAGACAAATTTATTGAGTTGAAGAACTATTGAAGTTTCGTTTTGTCAACAAAATTTACACAACAAAACGCGTTTTATTGGCAAAACAAAAATCTCATCTAGATTGAACAAACTTTTCTTGCTGGCTATATATAGTAACTAATTGTTTGCTAGTCTAGCAAATCTCTTTTTTTGTGTATTTTATTTTTATTTATTTCTCTTAATCCGTGCCTTTCGGCTTTGGATGGCTTCCGGTTACATATTTGCACAATACATTCTTTCATTATATAGCTCTGAGCATTTAAACATTTTTACATTTTTAAACATTTTAAACATCTCAAACATTTCAAACATTTTAAACATTTTAAACATTTCGAACATTTTTTAAACATTTTAAGCATTTTCAACTTTCTAAACATTCTAAACCTTTTAATCCTTTTACACAGTTTAGACCTTCTCAAACATATTTGTACATTCTTAAACACTAACACTAATATCACTCTGTTCCTTTGGTATCTTTGTTCTCTTTCCATCTTCTTTTCCTTATTCCTCAGTCTCCTTCATGTTTTCTCGTTCGCTTATCTTTTTCCTCCTTGCTTCCTCTATTCTTTTCATTACTTCACAGCCTTTACCATTTTCTTTCAAAAACTCTTCCTCTGATATTTCGCCTCTTGTCCCCTCACATTCTTCTAGTACGTGTTTGATACTTTCTATTTCTTTCCCACACACCCTGCACTTCCTGTCCTCTTCTTTCATCCAATGTTGATTCCCTTTCATCTCGTTTCCACATCTGTATCTTGCTATCATGATTCTATCTTTTTTTCTTTTTCTTCCTCTCAGATACTCCGGCAGTTCTTCTGTTATCACCTTTTTATAGCTGTCATTGTATCTTGATTCTTCGATTCTCTTTCTTCTTTCCTCTTCCAGGCTTCCCGTCCTCTCGTTCCATCTAAACCACTTCTTCTTCAGGCTAATTTTCATGTAACTCACCTTTACTTTGTCGTCTCCTTTCTCTCTTTCCTCCTTCGCCATTCTTCCTAATTTCTGCTGTATTTCTCTTTCTTTTCTTGTTAAGTCATCCTCTATTATTATGCCTTTTTCCAGCTCTTTCTTCTTTCTCATTATTATTCTTTTTTGCTCCCAGTTGTCTATTTCTGCAATCATTACATTTTTATTCTTATTTATTCTTATTTTTCTTACCTTCTTCACTTCTACATCTACTTTCAAACTCTCCTTTATAAATTCTTTCACTTTGATCCATCCTTTCCACCTCTCTCCACTTCACTCCTTTTATGACTATATTGTTCTTCCTTTCTTTTCTCTCTCTTTTTTCATTCATCTCTTCCAGTTCTGCTATTCTTTTTTCCAGTGTCTCTCTTTCCTGTTTCCACTCTTCCCTCTCCTTTCTTCTTTCTTCCTCTCTTGCTCTTCTCTCTTTCATCATCTGTCCTTTCATTCTTTCCATTTCGTCCCTCATCTCTTTCATCTCATCTTTCATCTCTTTTCTCATTTCCTCTATTTCCACTATTATTTTCTCAATTCCTTTCTTCCATACTTTGTCGTTACCGGTGACATATTTCTCTAGGGAATTTTCGTCTCCCTTGTTTTTTCCCCTGCTTCCCGCTTGCCTGCCTGTCGACGGCGCCATCTATTTCCCTTCCTGCTGCTTTCTCTCTGTTTTTCCCGCCTTTTTTTGGCCTTTTTTTCTGACTCCTAACCTGTCTTCTTTTCCGTTTCTCTTATCCTTTGGCTCTCTTCTCCTTTATAGATCTCTTTGCCTTTTATTCCCCGTTTTTTCTGCTCCCTTCTTTTCCTTCTCAGCACACTTTCCTTTGCACTACGCTCTTTCTTTTATCTATTTTCTGCTTTTTTGTTACTGGCTTCTTCCGCGCACATGCACACTTCTCCCTAGCTCCACCGGAAGTCCTTTTTTTGTGTATATTAATAAGGTGATCAACCTTTCCAAATTAGGAAAGACAATCACAAATTTTAACTTTTTGTCTCACTGTACAATATTTCAAAATTTGTCCCAAATTAAAGATCTGATTATAAAGTGACTCTTAAATTTTAGTACATAATTATAATGCAATATTAAAACTTGAACAATCAACAATTACGGAAATACAGGGGTTGGACAAACTAATATGAACACCATGTAATATAGTACAGTTTGTTGCATGTTGGCAACACTGCTTCCGTGTAAATAATTCGACGCGTATGTAATGCACAGTTTACGTAGCAGGTCTTGTAGGTTATATTTCAGTGTATTATACGTTTTGTTCTGCAACGATTATAACAAGCGATCGGTGAAATGCGTGATCTCTCAGACTTTAAAAGAGGGCAAATCGTTGGTGCTCGGTTAGCGGAAGCGTCTGTGAACTATTTAACGTCTCGAAATGTAGGCGTTAATATTTTTCGTCGAGTGTGCCATTTGTTGCCTGTTACAAAAAGAAATCATATATATATATATATATATATATATAT